CGGCTGATGTATATTCTTTCGGTGTTATAATGTCCGAGATATCTACTGGAAAAAAAGCATTTGATGGTATTCCTTTTGATGCGGAACTTTCTTCAAAAATTTGTGATGAAAATGAACAACCAGAATTTGGTGAAGGAACTCCAGAATGTTACGTCTATTTGGCTAAGAGATGCATGGATTCTGATCCAAATAAACGACCAACAGCTACTGTTATCAGCTCAAAAATCATCCATTGGCTCGACGAGATGGATCTGGATAGAGATAACGAGATCAAAAAACAATTCTTAGAAGCCGATAAGATAATACCAAAAATCGAATTATCGATTCATCCGAGTCATATGTATACAAGCAAACCGATTAAAACAAATATAAACGAAATTTTAAATTCAAATAGACAGAACACATCTACTCAAGGTTTATATATTTCCGACTATGATGTGTCAATTTTATTAAAAAAATAAGCCATACGAAAATTATGATAATTATGAGTGCAATCGTATTCAAATACAATACGGCACGGTTGTAATGTATAGGATGTTTATTTCGATTAAAAAGTTTTGCTATCTCTATAATTTTATAAACTAGAAATTGCACATGCGATTTAATAATATGCCATTATCAATTTGATAATATCCTTAAGAAACTCTTGTTTGCATATAAAACAGTATCGATGTTCATTAATTTTTTATAGTTATTGGCCTTGATTCTAACTTTTTTTATACAATAAAACTATTACAGCTGATTTCTTAAATTCTGGGACTATAGAAAAAATTTCCGATGAACGAATTGATGTCGATACGATTATTAAAAAATTTTCCAGCTATCCCAGCCACTTTTCATAGTTATAGATTATGTCATAACACTATAGTGTTCTTTCATATGAATTAAACGTATAAAAGCAAGATCAGAGATCTTGAGTTCTACCCATACGGGGATCCTATGCTTATCCGACAAACTCTTATGATCATAAATGTATTTCTTTCTGTTTCATGTGTTATGAAATATTCACGTTTACTCGAATTAAAACTCAGCCGACGACTCCTACCAATCATGATCATAAATTGTCGGATAATGTAATGCACATTATAGTAGGCAAGAAATTCTTATATAAATAAATCATTTTTGTCTTAACAATTATATTATTCATAAAGCAAATTTAGGAAAATTTTATTCGACCAGAAATTGTAAATGGCTTTAATAAAAACAATCAAAAAAAAGAAAGTTAATTGTATTTACTACATTATATACTGATGAAGCTGTAAGCATGAATTGTTTTTCCTAAACTACTGTATATTCTAACTTGAGTCGACTCTACTCAGCTTAAGTTTAAACAATTATGACACAAGTTGTAATTACATTTTCTGCATCCAAAATGACGGCCGTCATACTGATATGAAATTTTACATACATTACACGTCCAAATGAATGGAGATGGCAGATAATAAAGAGGATGTCTGTTAATACAGAGACTAGGTTTACATTTTTGTCCAGACTTACAATGGTCAAGACAAGCGTTAAAATCGCAAATTTCGCAATAACCGGATTCCTGAGACAATATTTATAAAGTAAATATATATTTATCTCTACCGTACACCTATCAAGATTAAAAAATTTACCGATGAACTATATCTTTTTCCACAAACGTCGCACCACCAGAGAGAAAAACTTTCTATTTTCAAGTCATGTCCTTCAAAACATCGTGGTTGTAGCATGTCCGCCGCTTCATAAATGGCTTTGATAAAAATGTGTTTATCAACTCAATCATTCATTCATGCATTTTCAACTTGTGTATATAAGCATACATGTAAAAAGTCAGTTAAAAAAATAATAACTTACAGCAAAACTTATTGAAATGCTATAATACTTACATCTAACTATTGGTTATCTAAGAAGTTTATACTCACGAGCTAAGAGAAAATATAGTGGCAATTAAATAAGTATGTATGAATAGTGATAATAAGCTAAAACGAAAGTTTATATATATTTTTAAAGGCTCGTGTATAAATCCATAATAATATTCGAGTCGTATAAACTTTTGTTAGGTCTATATAAAAATTTTCATTTTATACTTACTTTCTATTTCTTTTTTATATAATAAAAGGAAAAAGCATATTAATAATAATGCACAAATAATCAATAATAATATTTTACTTACGTCTTGAAGTTGAAGTAAAGGTATTTCTTGATGGTAATTCAGTAGCCGAGACTACTCGAGGAGGTAAAACAATAGAAGTGATAACCTTATTTGGAGTCATAAATTTTGCCATAATATTTTTCCATAATTCAGGTTCAAGAATTCGATGATATGGTTGTACTTTTTCCAAGACGTCTTCGCCAGTAATTTGAAAATATCGAATATGAGGTAAACAATTTTCGAGTATAGTTCTTAAGGTTAAAAAGTTTTCATCAGACCATTGTGCAGGATTAAGGCTTAAATCAGGATTTTGAGCAATTCCCCATCTAATGACATGATCCCAAATTTTTCCTTCATCCATTTGTAAATTGTCAAGTTTTAAGATGGAAATTAAGGCTTTTTCTGAAAGACTTGTAAAATCTTCAGAATTAAAAAGAATACTTGGATGTTTGGCAATAAGATCATTACAAAATTTCTGTAAAACTTTAAAACTATTATGTTCAAAACTTAATTTATAAGTTTTGATGAAATTCCGACGTATCCATGAAGCATGACTTTTAACTAATTGTGATTGAATAGTATTAACTAGTTCTTCAAGTCCAAATTCATTAGCAGTAATTAAAAGATTAAGAGTTGTAGATGCATCGATTTTATCAAATATAACGACACCACCGTAAATATATCTATATAATTTTAAGATTAAAACGTTCAAAATTATATTTGAATAATTAAAGTCTAATTCATTGATAATAATATAATTATAGCTTACCTGATAATAATTTCAAAAACAATAGCAGATATATGTGGTTTACAGATTTTCTTAATCTTTTCACCATAAGTTACTTTGACCAATTCATTACGAAAATAAGAACATCGAGAATTCAAAATAATTGAATGGACCTTAAATATCTGATAGTCTGGCATTCGCCCGACTTCAACTAATACATTGTAATCTTCACCATTTTCGAGAAGACTTGTTAAATCGTTAGAAAGTTTTCTGAAGAATTCTGTAGCCATCTTTGCGACAAAGTATAAGATGTTTACTAAAACACGATCGGGGACGTGGAAAATTTTGGGAACACAAGATCTAAATTATATGGCCGATCTACTTTTCAAAACAATCTAATTCTGGTCAAATTTGCCGATCATTTGCCCAGGTAACTGGTATACTAATCTATTAGGGCTGAACGATCTGCAATTTTGACCAAAATTAGATTGTTTTGAAAAGTAGATCCAAAGTAGATCACTTTAGTAAAATTCACGCTAGCGCTAGTAGAGAATGGCTGCAACCCAGTCGCATGATTTAGCGATTACGTCTCATTTCCCCGAAAACTATGTCATTTACTCGATATATTACGGCGCATTCGAAGTTCTATTCGTTGATTACGAGGCATCGTCTTTCAAAACGTAGCATAGTGAGATTAAAAAATAGTTACGCAAGATCAATTGTACGTATCGAACGTACGTACGTACGTACGCACGTATCATGTTATTTGTAGCAACTTACTTAAACTACATAATATTAGACAAATATTAATCAACGACACCCAATTTTTCATAGCTACATTTGCCCAAATCTGCCCATAAAGTTTTCACGTAATGATCTAATAAAAATAAGGAATCTTCTTCGTTCTCATGGCACAACCATTGTGACAGTATCTTGTCCTAGCATCAACCTCTTATTACGTTTAGATATAGCAGAAGTTTACCTAATCTGGCACTATACGATGGTGTTTGATACAGTATCATACTCTTATGTCGATTTAGTTTAAGGTCATCAAAATGATATGGATTCTAAGGGTGGATCTCATTTCCTCGACATCCATTTTACCTACACCCATTTAACCGACATCACATAGGGCTAGGGTTGGCATTTTATTAGTTGCAGATATTAATACGTATATATTAATAATAAATTGTCACCTGTATGATGTCAGTTAAATGGCTGTCGGCAAAACGTGGTGAATCAGGATTCTAATTAAGAAAAGGAATTACTTTGTGCGCATATACGAAACAAAAGGGTCAGCAAGAAAGTTAATCATAATATTTTGTTAAGAACTTATACATTAATTGCAGAGTAACAAAAATGATTCAATGTCTACAATAAATATGTTTCATTTTTATGATATCTAATCCAATTTTATAATAAGTATTTTATTTGTGCTCAAAATTTTGAAAAATTGTTCTATCTGATTTTGATTCCATTTTTCGAAGATATTCATCTCATGAAAAGTGGGTTGTTGTCTCTTTACAACCGCAATAATAACGGAATTTTAGAAATTTCGGACCAGTCGAGGAAAAAAAATATAGTGTAGATATGATAAAGGCACCAGTTGCAATTTCAACATCTCAAAGGCTAAAAATTCACTTTTCATCATCTTTCTTATCGAATTCACCATCATGATCTAGAAATGATAATATAAAAAGTTTAGATGATGCTTATGTAAATAATGTTTTTACAATATCTGCAGATTTAGCTAGTAGGTTTTAATTCTGTAAATTTTTATTATAAATTGTCTCTGTTTGAAAAGAACAGCCTTATACAAAGGAATTATAATAACCTACATATATAAGAATTCTAGCAATGAGTATTTCTTTGATATTTCACCAATTGACGAGCATTCTATTTGGATACAATTGAAAACACGGTATGAAGATTGCTGTTTCAAATTATCTCATAATTTGAGTTAATCTTCAAATATTTGAGTCAAATATTTGATCAAATTCAAATTCAAATTTAATATATTTGATTTGATCAAATTCAAATATGATCAAATGTAATTTTATTTTAGTTGAAAAAATTTTTATTGAATGAAGTTTAGAAGTTGTTTACTCAAAAATTTATTAAGACGACTAATTTTTATTTTTTTTAAAGCTAAGAGCATGACCAAATTCAAATTAATTGGCTTTTTTTAATATTATATTTTCATTTTGCATTTTTATGAATGCATGATGTTTCTGACGAAAACTGTTGATGCCACTTTCTTTTATTGTTCACTAAATTTTTTTATATCAACGCGTTCTATAGTGACAAAACTCAAATGTATTAATCATTAAATTTAATTCAGAACGCTATTCTATTTTACAGAAGATTGATCACAAACGATCGGTTATATGAAAAAAATTTTTGATCGGTCACCATCTCTAATTTACATTTGCTTTTTCATCTTTTTTAAAGAATATTTTAGATATTGACACTATGATTGCTATTGAAATAAAAGCTGAATAAGAATCGGAAGCTTAATAAGAGATAGAAAGTGAAATTGAAATAGCTTTTACAGTCATTATTATCATACTAGTGTAGTCATTTTTTATCGAATGCGTAAGAAATCTAGATGTGAGTCAAATTCGATAAAAAATTTTCACATTTACATTTTTATTTGAGTTTTGCCTAGACCTACGTTTCTGCGTTTATGCATTTTTTTTTTCTGATTTTCTGATCGGCTCAAACATAGTTTGATGTGGTCGGATTTGTATTACCGGGTATTTTATTAATTTGGTAATATCGATTTTCAAAT